TGATATGACTTAAGTACAGCTTTCTCCTCATTTCTTCAGCTGCTCTGTGTGTGCTTCCTCTCCCACTAAGTGACAGCCTTGGCAGTGACTCTGCCCTCTAGCATCTGGCTGAGGAGTCTGTCCTGTTTAGCTGGTTTAGAGCTAGCAAAAGTCACTTATATGAAAAAGCCAGCTGTGCTTAATCTACCGTTAAAATGTTACTGCTCCAGAAAAAAATGACAATAAATAATCTGGCTTTGAGATCAAGAAGAAATGGTGGTTGTCACTTAACATGGAAACCAGCCTCAATCTTTCATGTTCTGCATGGATGACAAATCTTTTTCTGTGGATTAGAGATAAAATTGCTCAATAATGGAGCTGTTATAATAAAATTGCATTCCAAGGAAACAATATGTCCACATTGAAAGATGTATTTCAGGCCATTTCTACAGAAATTTGCCAGTTTCTTACTGTTCATCACTTTTGAAGATTTTGATAATAATGCATATGCATTTGTTTTCTGATTTGCTTCAGAAATATGAAACTGAAACCCTGAAGGTAGTTAATTTTAGGCTACTTTCCACAAGATATTTTGTGCTTGGCACAGATATCTGAGTACAAATAGCATGGTTATTGTTGGTTATTATAAATAAGTCAGTACTGTCAGTTATTATTGTCTTTGTTGTTACTTTTGCCAGAGAGATAGATAGAGAGCTCATGGGCTGCAGCTAAGGAAAAATACTTCAGACAAAAGGCATTGAATAGTGCCAGATTAAACCAAAGCAAAGCAGCTTCATTTATATACCGCTTCATATCGCGCTACGGGATGTCTAAGCGGTTTACAACTGTAAACTCATTGCCCCCCAACAGTTGGGTACTCATTTTAGCAACCTCGAAAGAATGCAGGCCTGAGTCTAGCCTGAGCCCTGGCTAGTATTGAACTTGCAACCTTGTGGTCTGAGTGAGTGGCTGCAGTACAGGCATTTAACCACTGCGCCACCAGGTTTTGCTTGGTTTTGTTCACAGATGCTTTTTATATATTAATATTGTTTTTAAGAACTTCAGATCCATGTGCTAACTTTATTTCCTAAGTTTGTTTGCAGGTGGGCCCAGAAGTAGTATAGTCACTTGGATTTCATTTGTTTGCATATCTTCAACTCCATTCTAAATTAAAAACCAGTGACAAACTCAGATTCTGGTGTGTTTAATCCATCGTACTGCAAAATCTCATGAAGCCTGTTATCAGGCTTGTGCAACCAGTCATGTACTGTTGACCCTTACTCTACATATGCTCCTGTTCCAAATTGTGTCCTCTCTTGTTTTTCTACTTGATATCATTTCTTCTGGCTCTCTTGAGTCAGAGCCAGTGGGCTTCTTAGTCTGACAGAACTACTTCATTCAGTGCAACTAGGAAGGGAACATTTCTTACTGACAGTATATAATGTGCTCTCTCCAGATCTGCTCCTGAGTGCTGGGAAACTTTCCAAAACTGTTTTAGGGGGTGTTGCTGGAGTGGAGAAGAGAAAAACAGTGGATGTTTAGCATGAGATTGAATCTGGATCTCTTCCCCACTATTTTTTAATAGACAGTAAAAAAAGCTGTATGCTCCAGGCTACTTTTAATAGCTTTAGTTGAATACTTACCTTTTAAAATAAAATATTGTGGGTTTTGTATGGTGCAGCCTTCGTTATTCATAGGGTTTTTTTTATTATTATTATTATTTATGAATGTCTTAATGGGGCTGTTTCCCTGAAAGGCAGTGTTAATTGTTCTTATCAGAGCTGTGGAGTCAGTACACCAAAACATTGACTCCGGCTTCTTTAATTTTCTACTGTCTCCCTCCTTTATAAATAGCAAATTAATTAGTAATAACAAATTTCCATTGGGAAGTGGTAGAATAAGCCATTTCATCACCACCATGTGAATCAGACCACTTATACTGATAGGGCATAAAATATATTTGATTAAAATTTCTGAGTAAGAAACTTCCTGTGAAAGTAAATTTCCAACAAACTAAGTATTTAACATTATAAGCTTTTTTTATTTTGAGGCAGAGTCAGAATTGGTACTTTTCTACCAGCTCTGCGTCTGACTCCCCCAATAATTTCTTCATACTTCAACTCCACAATAGTGACTCCAAATCCACAGCTCTTATTGTATTGTCTTCTATGAATGGGGCTTCACAAGACAATCAGTATCATTTGAACTATCAGATGATCCTTAGATGATGGGATATATTTTCTCTACCTGACTAAGTTTTTCTTAGATTAAAAAGTTCTACAGTCTGCTATGGGGACTTTCAGGCAACTTTGTCCATGACTCTGCATACCGTTGAAGTACTTCCATTTTTTCCCCAAGGGAAATGGTCATAAAAGTAAGTCTTTTGTCATGCTGGAAAAATCCATTTGACAAAAGGCACACTTTTGCAACAGTCTCCCTCAGGAAGGAGGACAGGAGTGTGGAAAAGCAAGGACAAAGCCATTACTCTTCTAATCCATTTCGAGTTTCTTTTCTCATGTGATTAGGCTCATAGTGTACTGTATACTGTATCCTTTTTTCAAGGCCTAAGTAGAATTCTCACAATACTGTATTTGTAATTTTTCTAGATGCCCTGAAATATTTTCTTTTAATTCCAGTCAATTCTTCACGAACCATTGTGGATGCCAATGAGGAATTCAAATCCATGTCTGGGACGATACAACTTGGACGAAAGCTCATTACAAAATACAACCGTAGAGAGCTGACTGATAAACTGCTCATCTTTCTTGCCCTTGCCTTGTTTTTGGCCACTGTGCTTTACATCCTGAAGAAGAGACTGTTTCCCTTTCTGTAAAATCATCCAGTGAGGAGAAGGAGCAGAACTGTGAGGAAAGAAAAAGGCAGGATTTATTACAAGAACCTGGCATTATTCTGACACAGAGACCTCTAGAAGACAGAACAGTTGTTGGTGAAGATGTAAACTACTTCTGAATAAGCTAAATGAGCTGTAGGATTGCACAAGGAACTATGGATTTGGCAGAAAAATTATACCTTGTTGCTCTGAAAATGGCAGGTTTTGAACTGAACGATGTGAGACACATTCAGCTGTCTCTCACCTATGACATGAAACTTCTTTCATCAGAGATCAGTTTGGAAGGAGTCATGAGAAGAGTGGAAAGATGCAAAAGAAAATGTGCTTAGATACATTCCTTTAATAAAGTGTATTTGAATACAGCTAGATCTGAAACCTTATTTATTAAACATGTCTCATAAACTGAAGAAGTAATGCATATAAACTCTTAGTGGTTTTCTTGCTATACTTTTGAGTTATAAAAATGGCCTTTACTTCCATTATTGTCATAGATAGGAAGGGCAATAAAGTACCATCTTCTCCTTGGCATTATTGCAAAAAAAAATTTGTCCTGCCTGAGAGATACAGTTCAAACAGATTAATTGTGATTTTTGTTCTGGAGGCCTAATACATCTTTAAGTAAAAAGGGAAGATTTGGACTATCAGCTACTCAAACTTTTCCACTTGTGCTGTATGTTCAAAGTCAAAGATACAGAGATGTATTGTGAGATTACAAACCAGTAGGCATGAGCAGTTTTTTCCTCTGGTCCAACTGCATCACTGCTGTACCATATGGTCAGAGAGAGAGAGTTCCTAGTAAGGAGCCCTGGTTTTGCAGTGGTTAAATCCCTGTGCTGTAGCCATTAACACACAAACCAGAAGGTTGTGAGTTCAATCCCAGCCAAGGGCTTAGGGTCGATTCAGCCTGGCATCCTTCCGAGGTCGCTAAAATGAGTACCCAGCTTGTTGAGGGCAATTAGCATACAGTTGTAAACTGCTTAGAGACTGCTTAGTGCGGTATGAAGTGGTATATAAATGAAGCTGCTAAGCTGCTATTGCTAATAAGGCATTATAGAGCCTGCCTGCCATCTCTTCTTCTGTTGGCTCTCAGCACTGTAACGCACCTGGCCATTATCTATAGCCAAGGTATGCATGCACGCTAATTGTGGCACATGAGTAGTTTGAACACTGGTGTCTATGTAGAACAAGACAAATAGCTTCTATGAAAGGTGAGAGCTTCTGATTTCAGGTACTGGCTGAACTAACAGTGTATGCCCAGCCAAGGCTGCTTCAACAAGAAAGTTGGGGGAAGGAAACACTGTTTTATTATGGTCCTTCCACATGCACAGCTCTGTACCCATGGAAGATTATGGATTGTGATTGCATTGTAGGATTAGAGTTGACAACAGGAAAGTGGTAAAATCAAAATGAAACTATGAAATGCTATTGTTTTCTTTCTTTTTCTTTTTTTGAAATGCTATTGTTTTCAAAAATTAAAAGAGTTTTCCTTTTGAAGTATTTTCCAGCACTGCTCCTTACATGTCTTGCCTTTGAATCATACCTCTTGATGCTTGGATCTGGATTGCCTGATGTCTAAATGGGGTGGTTTCTGTTTTACACTGAAATAGTAAGATTAAATATTCTGAATTAAGTAAATACAACCAGTTAAACAGCAGTCTTTTGTGTATGTGAATTGCAAGGCTGTTGTTAAGATGATCTCATTAAGTTTCATGTAGCATGTTCTGAGGGAAGAAATTGCAGCAGTGGCTACCTCTTAGGCTGCATCTGCACTGCAGAAATAATGCAGTTTGACATCGCTTTAACTGCCATGGCTCAATACTATGGAATCCTGGGACTTGTAGTTTGTTGTGGCACCAGACCACTCTGATAGGAGACTAAATATCTCACAAAACTACAAATTTCACAATTCCACATCATTGAACCCGTTGCAGCTAAAATAGTTTCAGACTGTATTATTTCTGCAGTGCAGATTCAGCCTTGGAAGAATAATTTTAGCTTTCCGAGAGGTTTTCATTCCAAACAAAATGATGGTCAGTCTAGAGCAAAGTTTCTCATGTGGGTTCCCTAGAATTCTAGGGTTCCATGAGAGGTCAATAAGGGTTCCAGGAGAAATCATGATTAGAAGTTATTATTATTATTATTATTAGCTATAGAAATAATAAGTCTAGGAGCCAGAGTGATCCAGTGGTTTGAATGTTGGGACTACAACTCTAGAGACCAGGCTTCAAATCCCCGCTCAGCCATGGAAACCCCCTTGGGCAAGTCACACTCTCAGCCTCAGAGGAAGTCGAAGGCAATGCCCCTCTGAAAAAGTCTTGCCAAGAAAATCCTGTGATAGAGTCACTTTAGGTTCAGCATAAATCAGAAATGACTTAAAACACACAAAACCAATAATTCTTATACAGGGGTTCCCCTGAGACCTGGAAATTATCTCAATGGCTCCTCTAGGGTAAAAAGGCAGAGAAAGGATGGTCTGTAGAAAATGGTATGAAAGGACAGAATGGTTAAGTACAAGTGATTCTGTATGTTGGGAGACCACCTGGGAACGAACTGTAAGCTATGATGTGTTAAAAAGAAGAACCAGGCTTGAGTGGATGCATCTACACATCTACTGCAGACTGATCCATTGTTATTCATACTCATGGTTATTCTGATACAAAAGCAACTTGCCTACATAGCTCAAGAGCTAGAATTATTATTAATCTGTTCATTCATTCTAGTTATAAGTAAAGATGACTTATCGACCTGTATTAACCTAACCATCCTTTTCTGATCTACCAGAGAGAATCTCTATTGTAGCATGATTGATGATCTATAGTTCAGTTTTATATTCCCTCTGTTGGTTCCAAATGTTACAGTTGTATATGCAAGGTGAGATTACTGAGACTTTCCTCATCATGTAATACTTTCATCTAACCACAGTGCCTTCATAGCAGACTTGATTGAATATTCTTGCCATTTAGTCATGTGAATATTGCACTACCCTATAAAGATTAAGAGTGTGTGCCTGCCTGCCTTCAAGTCACCTGTCGATTTATGACAACTCCATGCATCCCATAGGGTTTTCTTAGGTAAGGAATATTCAGAGATGGTTTGCCATTGCCTTCCTCTGAAATTTAGCCTACAGCACCTGGTATTCCTTGGTGGTCTCCTATCCAAGTACTAAGGAGGCTTGGCCCTGCTTAACTTCCGAGATCAGACAGGATCTGGTGCCTTTGGGGTATATAGACTGATCAAGATTACATAAGTTATGCTTAATCAGGTGTATGCATTCTTTATGGTTTGCATTTGGCAATTCTGCAAACATTAATGAGATGTTCTAGGCAGATGCCTTTCATAAGAACATGGATACTATGCAGTAAATGAAGGCTTTGACCAATCACAACCCTGTAATAGACAGTGTCTGCTGTGTCAAATGTTACATTCAGAGAAGGAAGTCTTTTGTGAAGCATATGTATTATAGAGTATCTATATCAGTCTATAATAGGTATGGAATACGCAGGTCTCCAGATGTTGGATTACAGCTCCCATCAGCATTAGTTACCATAGCTCAGTACTTCTCAAATAGTGGGGCGTGCCCCCAAGGGGGGGTGCGAGGCTCCGTAAAGGGGGGCGTGAGGCCCTTTTAAATCTTTTCAGCTACAGGTAATAAAGCTATTCTTTGTTGTAAATTGATCCACATTTCTTTCTTTTTTTATTCTCATATACGTTAATAAGGATACAGTGTTATGCAGAGTTGTACTTATAACAATTTTATAGACAAATGATACTATTTACAGTTGTGCGGGGGGTGCGAAATGTTTTCTTCTTCCTAGGGGGGCATGACAGAAAATATCTGAGAAGCACTGCCATAGCTAATGGTGAGGGATGATGAGACCTCTGTTTTAGAAAAGTTTGAGGAATCACAAGACTCCAGTTCCTAGGTAATTTAATAGAGAAAATGTCAAGAGCATTTTATTTATTTATTTTAAAAGGATTTATGCCCTACCTTTCAGCCCAAACGCATTACCAAAATGGCTTCCAAACAGCTGTGACAGAACAATTATTTAACATTATTTGTTCATTAACAGCAGGAGACTGAAAGAATGTGAAATTTCTTTTGCTGGCTTGAATCTCATTTTGGGAGAATAGCAGGATATAAATCCCTTAAATAAATTAAATAAATTGAGAGGAAATGCATTGTTCTACATTTTTTGTGTTAAAAGGATGGAGTAGAGATTTCAAAGTATTTGGGTCTATGTAAGGGCAAGGATAAAAATGATTGGGGATGAATTAGTATAGGTTAAATACCATAAAGGCTTAAATAATTACTTTAATACCCTAAAGGCAACAGATCCCATCTGATCTAGGAATCTAAGCAGAGTCAGCTCTGGTTAGTCCTTGGATAGGAAACTGCCAAGGAATGACAAGTGCTGTGGTCTCCATTTCAGAGGAAGGATCTGGCAAAATCCACCTCTGAGTATCCTTGCCTAAGAAGAGCTTATGCAATTTATGGGGTCAACATAAGACAATGGATGACTTGAAGGTGTGTGTGTGCACACACATACACAGCATGTAGCCCTTGGGATGAAAAAAGCTGCCCAATCCTGACCTGGAGCCCAAGAGTGTGATTTGGTATATATACCACAAGGTCGCAGTGCAGTATCAACATTTTTTTTCAGTCCCTGAACAGGTTCTTTACTACAGTTCACAAGTTTGTAGCAATTGAGTATGCTTAGCTAAAGAAACCAGCTGTGTTGCCATAAAGCAAAATTCCTCTGTGGGGCAAATTTTTAAAGTGTTATCAGTCTAACACTTGTGTGCTGTTTTCCTTGTCCCTCTAATTTGTCTTTGCCAACTGTTTTATTAAATCGTGTTTGTTAATCTCATTTAATAGACATGGAAAGTGAAATCAACAGCTTCTTAAAAGAGTGATGTGATGAACATCAGTTCCTTCACATATGTAAGTTGTTGTGTGAACCACTGGTGGTGTCAGAATCCTTTATTCAGCACAGGTAGGGTCCTTATAATGGGAATAATTTATGCCAGTGTCTGGAACACCTACTAAGAAAGATCAAAGAAGAAAGTGCAATGGCAGGCTTACTGTTGAACATAAAGAAAACAAAAATAATGACCACCAAAGACCTTTACAAGTTCAACCTAGACAATGAAGAAATAGAAATAGTAAAAGAATTCCCATACCTGGGATCAAACATTGATAAAAATGGGGACTGCAGTCAGGAAATCACAAGACCAAGAATGGGGAGAATGGCTATGAAAGAACTAGAAAAGATCCTAAAATGCAAAGACATACAACTCAACACAAAAGTCAGAATTATACAAGCCATTATATTCAATATTACCATTTATAGATGTGAGAGCTGTACAGTTAAGAAAGATGATAGGAAGAACATCAACTCCTTTGAGATGTGGTGCTGGAGAAGAGTGCTCAGGATTCATGGACAGCCAAAAGAACAAACAAATGGGTCCTAGAGCAGATCAAGCCAGAAAAGTCTCTGGAAGCCAAGGTGACCAAACTGAGGCTGGCATACTTTGGACACATCATGAGAAGGCATGAATTGTTAGAAAAGACAATAATGCTAGATAAGGTGGAGGGAAGTAGAAAGAGAGGAAGGCCACATGTTAGATGGATGGACTCTATTAAGGAGGTCACAGGTATTAAGGGGTTGCAGGAATTAAGCAGAGCAGTGGAGGGCAGAGGGTCTTGGAGATGTCTCATTCATAGGGTCACCATGGTTGGAGATTGACTTGAGGGCAACTAACAACAACAAATGCCAGTGTCTCTACAGTTCATGACACAAATGGTAGAATATAGAACCTTGGTTACACAGTGCAAGAATTCATCGTGGATCTGCAGTTTAAGCCTATCTCCCACAGGTCTAACAACACTCACTTCTCTATACAACAGTAAAAATCATGAGGCCTTCCAGATGTCACTGAACTTCAAATACCAAAATCCATTATAATTGATTATGCTCTCTACTATTGATGGGAGTTGCAGTTCAACAACAACAGCATCTGGAGGGCCACATGATTTATTTTCCTGTTTTGTATTAATCAAGTGTGCCCACTCAGTTTGCTATTCAGTTTAGTTATTGTTATAGTGGTGGTGTAATACATTTATATCCCAGTCTTAAATACTTAGATTAGAGCTTGGGACACTTACTTTTTGGAATACTGATGCTAGAGGCAGGCCACTAGAGGCCATTTCTCAGAGAGGTAGTCCAAAAAAGTATCTTTTTCTAAGCTCTGGATAGAATGGTGTACACCTATTGTTGGACATGCGAGTAACAGGAGGAGAACTAGGGCTTGCCTACAGACAATTGAGCAAAGAATGGCAAAGATTTCACACAGATAATACTTCACAGTATTCCTGTGCAGCAAGGAATTGGGCCGAATGGTGGCGCAGTGATTAAATGCCTGTACTGCAGCCACTCACTCATAAACGACAAGGTTGTGAGTTCAATACTAGCCAGGGCTCAGGCTTGACTCAGGCCTGCATCCTTCCGAAGTTGCTAAAACGAGTACCCAGATTGTTGGGGGGCAATGAGCTTACAGTTGTAAAATGCTTAGACATCCCGTAACGCAACATGAAGTGGTATATTAGCGCGATATGAAGTGGTATATAAATGAAGCTGCTTTGCTTTGCTTTGCTTTTGTAGCCTCTACCAGCTCTAGGATTCTGTAACCAGAACTTTTAAAGGTGTGGGTCACCTCCTTGGAAAAGATTTCTGTTGGCAACAAGATAGGCATGGAAGCAGGATAGTGGTTTGTGGTTCCATTATACCCAAAGCAGTGCCACCCTCAGACTAGACTGGTTTTACAACAATACAAAGATCTGCATGCTGACAATAATAAAGAATATCAATAACACTGAAAAGGGCTTGGTGGGGAAAATAATATACATGATGGAGAGGCGTGTTTTCCACATGAAGAAGCTCTCTCCAAACAGGAGGCTGAGTTCATCACTGTGGCATTTCTAAAAAAGCCACAGTCCATCGGCAGATGAACATGGTGGCTGTCGCCTGCCAAAGTGGCCCAGGCGTGCCTGCCAGCTGGGAGAGGCTTGGGCACGGCTGGCTGGAATCCATCAGGGGCTGAGAATAGCTGAACTGCAGCTGCAAGCTTGCTTGTTAAAGTGTGCAGGGCTTCTCTTGAAAACAGCGGGGAAGCCAGGTGGGCCACCCGGTTGCCTCTGCTATTTTGGTTCATAATCATTATCACATTCAAAGGCCAAGTAGAG